AGGCAGCCCGTCCCTGCCCCAGCCCCTGCCCCTGCCCCCGGGGCTGCGCCTTTGCACCCCAAACGCCTCTCGGGGGCTTTCCTGTTTTCAGTCCAACTCGAGGGAGGGGAACAGGGGAAGGTTTCTCGTCCCCGTGTTGCAGAGACGCTTTCTGAACCCGTCACTGCTGCGTTGTCGCTATTTATGCCGTTTGCTTGAGTCTGCCGGCAGTCTGAAACGATAGCTCGGGGTGAAATGCTGCTCTCCTCCTGCTCTCCCGCATAACCGGCTCCTCGAAGCATCAGGGTGGCCTCCAGCTTCGGAGGCTGGACCAAAAGAGAGTCAAAGCTGCAGGGAGCTGGGGGAAGGAGCTGTATGCAGAAACCAACGTCTTTTCGGGGGAGCAGATGGTTGTAGGCTGGCAGTGGCTGCGCTGGGAGGCCAGGAGCTCGCAGGAGCTGGTTGCAGTGGGCTTGGCGGCTGTGATATTAATGCTGAAGACTCCTGTCAGTGAGCGCTGGGAGGGTGCAGTTTCAGCAGAACTAGAATAGGGCTAATTTGCTGTACGAAGGCCACAGACACCTGTAAGAAACGCATCAGCCCAAACCTGAAGAGCTCTGGCTGATGTGTCGGAGCAGATCTGCAGCAGCAGCTGGTAGGAAACAGCCTGGGGAGCGCAGTTGGCAGCTGAGCTTGGCCTGCCCGGTTAGGTGGATCAGCACCGACAGCCATCTGTGTGTAAGACCGACTGTCGGAAGAAGCAAATACTGCTGTTTTGCTGACAGACGGGTGATTAAAAGTTGAGGGACTAATCACAATAAAATTAGAGCTACTGTTGGTGGGTAAGAACTTCAATTGTGCTTTTAAACTGCAACTGAACATTTTTTTCTCTCTCTCTCTCTCTCCTTTAAGCGGAGAGGTGCTCATTTTTTGCCCTGCCTTCCCCAGCTCTATCCAACACCACAGAGCTGAGGTGGTGTGAGCTGTAGTGCAGGCTGGCATGAAGCCTGTCTTACTGCCACTAGCTGGAAAACGTTGCCAGGCTTTCTTACCTTTGGATATTATTTGCGCTCCAGCAGGCAGGAGTGGGAGGCAGTGCAGCAAATTGGCCTTTTCCTGCGACCGTGCGTCCACAAAGGGAGGCGAGAGGTGGGAGAGGTGCCCTCCCTCTCCTGCTCTGCCCAGATGGAACAGCCCAGGAGAGACTGGTGGGGAAACGAATGAGCAGCAGCTCTTCTTTGCCAGCATTTTTCCACTCTGAAAGACTCTGGGGCAGGCACCGTCTCAGTGGGGTACAGGGTGATTTGGATTAACCTCAGACATCTGTTTAGAAATTGCCAGTTCCAGGCTTCAAGATATTACCTACAAGGGCCAGCAGAACTCACAGAATCACAGACTAATGGCAAAGTGCGGGTTGGAAGGGAGCTCTGGAGGTCATCTGCTCCAACCCTGCTGCTAAAGCAGGGCAACCCGGAGCCGATGGCCCAGGACCATGTCCAGACGGCTTTTGAATATCTCCAAGGATGGAGGCTCCACAACCTTCCTGGGCAACCTGTGCCAGCGTTCAGTCACCCTCACAGTGGAAGGTGTTTCCCGATGTTCAGAGGGATCCTCCTGTGTTTCACTGTGTGCCCACTGCCTCTGGTCCTGCCGCTGGGCACCACTGAAAAGAGCCTGGCTCCGTCCTCTTCGTAGTCTCCCTTCAGCTATCTATACACCTTGGTAAGATTCCCCCTGCCCCCCACCCCAGTCTTCTCTTCTCCAGGCTAAACAGTCCCAGCTCTCTCAGTCTTTCCTCATAGGAGAGAGACTCCAGTCCTTTCATCATCTTCGTGGCCCTTCGCTGGACTCTCCAGTCCATGCCTCTCCTGTACTGGGGAGCCCAGAACTGAACACAGCACTCCAGGTTTGGCCTCACCAGCACTGAATAAAGGGGATGGATCACCTCCTTCGGCCTGCTGGCAATACTTCATTTAATGCATTTCACCGCCTTTGCTGCAAGGGCACACTGCTGGCTCATGTTCAACCTGGTTTCCACCAGGAACCCCAGGTCCTTTTCTGCAAAGCTGCTTTCCAGCTGGGTGGTCCCCAGTGTGTACTGGTGCCTGGGGGTTGTTCCTCCCCAGGGGTGGGACTTGGCACTTCTCTTTGTTGAACTTCGTGAGGTTCCTGTCAGTGCATTTCTCCAGCCTGTTGAGGTCCCTCTGGATGGCAGCACCACCATCTCGCATCCTAGCCATGCTCCTCCCAGTTTGGTGTCATCTGCACGCTTGCTGAGGGTGCACTCTGCCCCACCATCCAGATCATTAATGAAGATGTTGAACAGGACTGGGCCCAGTATTGACCCCTGGGGTACACTGCTAGTTACCCGTGTTCAATGAGACTTTGTGTCACTGATCACCGCCTTCTAGGCCCAGACGTTTAGCCAGTTTCCAATCCACCTCACTGTCTGCTCATCCAGCCCAGGAGCTTGTTGGCTCCTCTGTCACTTGGCTCAGGAAGTTACCATCAATGCTCTCCAGGAACCCCCTGGATTGCTTGTGCCCTGATTTGTCCTTCCGGCAGCTATCGGGGTGGTTGAAGTCCTCCATGAGGACCAGGGCCTGCAAACACGAGGCTGCTCCTATCTGTCTGCAGAGCGCCTCATCCGCTTGTTCTTCCTGGTCAGGCGGCCTATAGCAGACACCCACTACAACGTCACCCATGCCGGTCTGCTCTGTAATCCCCACCCGCAAGCTCTCAGTTGGCTGCTCACCCATCCCCAGAGCTCCATGCCCTCCCGCTGCTCTCTCACACAAAGGGTGGCTCCCCCTCCTCATCTTCTCTTTGCCCTGACTCCTCTGTACATACCACTCTGTAATTGTCGGGATTCTCTTTTATGGCGTAGGATTAGGTGGACAAATGTCCTGATCTGGCGCAAGAATGTTTGTGAAATGAGAAGTGCTTTGTGCGGTTCGTTTCTGTGGTGGGGATGGTGGTCAAGTGCATCACGAAGAGGATGAGAAGCAGGGAGCAGTCCAGCAGCAGAGAGCTGTAGGAGGGCTGCCTGGCAAGGTGTTACGAAGTCAGGTAAGTCATCAGGCGGGGACTTGTCTTCCTGAAAAGCGTGCTGCCAATTCTCTTGAATATATAGGACCAGCTGCAGTGGCTGAGAAATGGGATATGCTGTGCACAGCCTTGCACTCGTCTGTGAATATTGAAAGTGAATGAAAGTGCCGACATGATCTCTCTTACTTGATGAGCTGGGCTCGCTTGCTTAAAGTACACAAGCACGTGCACTGGCCTATACCGCCTTGGGCACTGTCAGCATAGGCCTAAAAGCTTGTGTAACTCATCCACCAGCTCAGGTTCGTCTAATAGGAGACTGGCCCTCCCTGCAAGGCTCGCCTTGCCTGTGCCCTGCCTCAGGGCTGTGGCACCGCTGTCAAAGATGGACCAGGAGGAAGCCCTCCTGCATCTTCCTGCAGGGAGTTCAACAAGCCAGCCTACTCCTCCAGCAGCAGGCCCTGCCCCGGGGCGGACACCCAGCGCTCCTGCAGCCTTCTTTCTTGTCTCTTTTGCTTCCTAGGTGCAAGTGTGGGACACGGCTGGCCAGGAGAGGTTTCTTGGTAGAGCACTACTACCGCAACGTGCATGCTGTCGTCTTCGTTTACGATGTCACAAAGATGACCTCCTTCACCAACCTCAAGATGTGGATCGAGGAGTGCAACGGGCACGCGGTGCCCCCCCTCGTCCCCAGGGTGCTCGTTGGGAACAAGTGTGACTTGAAAGACCTGATCCAAGTGCCATCCAGCATGGCCCTGAAGTTCGCCGACGCTCACAACATGCTTTTGTTTGAGACCTCGGCCAAGGACCCTAAGGAGAGCCAGAACGTGGACGCCATTTTCATGTGCCTGGCCTGCCGGCTGAAGGCCCAGCGGTCGCTGCTCTGCCGGGACCTGGAGGGGCGGCCGGGCCAGGCCCGCAGGCTGGAGCCAACGCACGACGCCAACGGTAAAACCTCCTGCCCGTGCTGAGCGGGGCTCCCGCCGCCCTCTGTCACGGTCACCCCAATAAAGTCTCTGCGGCTCCAGTCAGCTCTGGGTGTTGCTTTGCTCGGCTCGGCTCGGCTCGGCTCGGGCGGGGGGGGGCGCGGCGCGCATGCGCG